ACAAAGCTCAGAAGTTATGTGTGTGTCTTTTAAATTCAACTAAAAATTGTTCAAGTTAATAAGGTGAAGTTTAGTTTACAATGTTTTCCCCATGTTTATTACCAATAATTTTACCTTACTACTAATAATCATCCTTATTCTTTATTTTAAAAATGTTTTCATATATATATATAATATATTTTTCATATTCATACGTTTAATGTTCATATGTTATATATATATATATATATATATATATATATATGAATATTTTTTATATTCATATATATAAATGTTTTCATATATATCTCGAAATTCTTACAAGGAAAAAAAATACACACTTTAATACATTCTTTGAATATATTAGAATTTCTTTTTTTTTTTTTTTGTAATTTTATCTATGAGATAAAATAGGAGGGAGGGACGAAACATTTTCGTGAAAAAACAAACTAAATCTGACCAATCCTCGGCTCTACGCCTTGTCATCAAGATTAGCAAAGTGAGTCGAAATCATAGCCATTCAATAAATACATATTTTTGACAATTTGAGGTTCTTGATCGCCATCGGCAAGAAATGATTACATGACAAAAACATCAACAGGTGATTTATAAGATTTATAAGACGATATAGGTAATTAATAAATAAAATATCAGAAGATCATAAACGTAATAAGGATTACTCTGTTTACACTTTTTTGGTTAAGTTGATGAAATGGGATGCACCATTTCTGATTGAAAATTATATGATTTTCTGTTCCAATAATAAGATGGATACATTATAGATTTTTTTTTACTTCTTTTATGAACAGTTTCATTAAAGCATGACCATACTCGCTGACTTCGAGATGGCGAGGGGGGTGAACGCTCCCCAAATAAAAATAGAGAGTCGGCGAGAATACCGTTTGACATCCCCCTCCCCCTCCACCAATATTTCGACGAAAAAAAATCAAAATCAATAACAATTAATCTACATGAATGAATAAAATATGTAAACTAAAACTCATAAAAAAAATAGAAAAGTCGGCTAGATGGCTATGCTAAGACCTAGAAGTAGATATCAAATATTTTATCACGCTCTTTGTTCTCATTATTGAAATTTTAGCTTAAAATCAAAGGCAGTTATTTAGTTTATATCGTACATAAACTTTAGTATTATGTTGTTCGTTTAACATTAATTATGTTGTGTTTTTACCCAAAATATAAACCCCCGAGACATACTTTTGGAGAGGGGTTCCATCGCTCCCCTCCTCCCCCAACTAAAATGGAAATTCTGCGCCTATGAGACGAGCATGGCACATATAGAATGTAATTACTTTACTATTAAGGAAATTTAGGAAACATGGATTTTAATTAAGAAACTATTTTTTCTTGGAATTAGAAGTCCTTTCTTTTACCTATATAAAAATAATATATATATCCAACATACGTAAGTTTATATGAATATTTGTTTTATCCATGTATTCCTTTTTAAGAAGGAAGTAATGTAAATGGATTTGATAGATTTGATTTCCCTGAGAAATATTTAATTATAAAAAATAATAATAAAACTAAACCTGTTATTATAAATCACAAAGTGAAGGAGGACAGAAAATTATTTGGAAGAAATTTTCTTTTGAATGGTTACGTACAGGAAGGTGAGACGAGCATAATAAGGAGGACGCGGTGCGACGACCTAGCGAGGCTCAGCGAAAGATAGCAGAGAGCACGATCCTTCCAAACTGTTTAGCTTTTATTATCTAATTTAGTTTAAGAGGCTCGTGGGGATGGTTAATGCCTAAAGAGGGAATGCTTTGCCTTATCCTCTTCTATTTGTTCAATTAAAGAGAATGGTTTTGTGGCTGAGGAAATCATTAAAGGTGGTATGTAGCGTTGCTAAAAGATTGTTAAATTCGTCTTTTATAATTAAATGCGGTCAGTGTTAGAAATTTAAAAGGTTCATATCTTGGAAGGAATGTTTTGTCGACGTAGTTTTAACGGATTTAAAAACAACAACAACAATATTCAACATTTTTATATCTTCAACAACTGATTGTTTTAATTAAATGTTTATTATTATCAAGCATCAAAGTTTAATTAATTCAAATTGATCTAAAATAAAATTAAAGTGCTCATTTTTATTTATGAACACTATTATAAGCGAAGGGGGTTGTAGAGGTACTAGGTGTAAATGATAATTTCGGGCTTTTGGCGTTGAAATTATTAAAAATATCAAATATTGGTATTGCGGGCAGTCTACTTTCAAAATGAACCAATTTCGATTGATTTTTTATATCGTTCAATGCCTGATTATTGATGATAAATATTAAGACAAATATTGTTAAGAATACATGTACATTAATAATGATATTTTATTTTTTCACCTCCGAAAAAGAATTTTTAATCAGTTACAGTAATAATTATATAGGATAGTTTCACCTGGACCAATTATTACTTCAAATATGTGCCTACAAAAATATTTTTTTTATATAAACGGTGGAAGATAAAAATAGTTAATCCAGATAACTTATTGCTAGTTTGAAAATTCCTTAAATGTTTCCCTTTTCATTTCCATGTTCAAAACTTGTTAACATATTTTTTGAAATTCCTTAACTGTGTATACAATGATATTCAATTATTGTTTCTTTGATATTTATATTTTTAAATTTGAATATATTATAATAAGTCTATTTCATGTATAATATTCTAATTATTCGTGTTAATTGTATATATGCACATAAATATGTATGTATATAAAGTAAATATTTGTGAATTATGTTAACATTACTTACATCAATCAACTTGATGAAACAATTAATTATTTTTTTGAAATAAAGGAACCTCTTTTGATTTTCGGGTGTAATCTTTATTATAAATAAAATATATATAAAAGTTATATAAATATATGCCGTGGTGGACATAGCGAAAATAAAATTTTTACATAAAGAAAAACGTTAAAAAAATTAAGACAAGCTGATGAATGAATGTGAAGAGAGTCAGAGCCAGGGAGGGAAAGATCTCCCGCAGAGAGTAACGTTTCACAAGATTTACTCTCAAAGGTCGGCATCAGTTTTTTCCCCTCCCGAAGAGAGCTGCTTGTCGAAGAATTAATGCCTCGCGTGTTGGATCAATAATTACAAGAGGGACATCTCAGCCCCTGGTTATTTATTGCGTTGGCCCTTCCCTTATCTCCTGTATTCCTCTCCTCTTCTATTTTTTGTCATCCTCCCGTTCTCCTCCTAATAGGAATGCGGAAAGAGGGAGGAGCGGGGAGGGTTAACATCTTGCAGCCCCCAAACATGGCTGCTCTCCTATGGATAAAACAATTCACCGGCAAGATGGCGTGAATTCCTTTCGGCTGTAACCTGTCGTCACTATCGAACATATTATATGACATATTAAAGAAAATTATTATTTATTGAATGTAACAATAACGGTTAGCCTCTAAAAGCCTCGGCTGATTAACATGTGTTATCGTTAGAATAATTCATATAGTCGTTCCTCAAGTAAATAAAATAGCAATCTAGAATGGCAGATGCTTTATGAAACTAGAACAGCCCAGTGCCATTACTGACATTATATAGTTATTCTTCTCTCTATTGCATTCGACGTATGAGCAATATCAGCGAAATATTTTTATTTGTTTATAAATATAATATTATCAAGATAGTCTATTCAACAAACACAATTAGCGAAGCTTCATATTTCACAAGGACTGTTAAAGTAATGGAAAATTTGTTATGTTTTTATTGGTCTATGTTTGTTACTGTGAGATATCTAAGCTAAATACTTAAACAATAACAATAATACGTAAAAAGCTACTAAATATAGCCTTGTCTTATGAAAAATATCTTATTAATCTTGGATCCACTACTGTTGCAAAATAGTCTTGGTTTGTTGTTCTCTCACTTGCCAAGACTGTAGAAGTCTATCTTGCTATTACTGAGAGTATAGAAGCCATAGCTGGATATTTCTTCATACATTAAATATATCAAAAACTTTCTTTTTATATTATCTATTAGCAGGGGTGCCCATCTCTCCTCTCCCCTCCCCCCAAGATTGATGTACAAGAACCCTCCTCTCAACATATTTTAGCATTCTTAAAAGCAGAACAACATAAGATATAATTAGAAAAATCTTAGATGATATACAATTACACTTGTTGCGGCCTGTTCCATGTTATCCACTTTTACCTTGGTCCGATAATTTATAACCCCGTCGAAATTTGCCCTCTCTCAAAAATTAAAAAAACCCGTCAAAATATGTCCCCTCAAAAATGTTGATGGCGCAACTTGTGCCATAAAACCTCCTTCTGATCACCCCTGTCTGAATGATTCTGAAGAGCCTAAGAGATCATAGAAACATTCTCCTCAATTTAACTTTTCATTAGATTTTTAGTTCATCGCAAATAGCAATATTTTAATTTTTAAAACTTAAAGATGTGATAGGTATAGTATCTCATGGCAAAGGTATCACCTATGAGTAGAGATGGGACATATTCAACTCAGAAATGATTGTAAAGACAGCTAGGATTTCATTTGAGTGTTCATCAAGTTCTTTGCCTTCTAAATCATCTGAATCTTTATCCGTGCCTTCTACTAAAGCGTTTTCGCTTTAGCATTTCAAAAATAAATCAAAACGTTAGTAGATCAGTTAGCAACGTAAAAAGATCGTATACAGTATAGGCACAACGCTATTATAACTAATAACACTTTAGCAAATTAGCACAAACAGGTTATTTACCATCCATTCAGAATTTGTGCTGACCGCTTAGCTTGACAGCACATTAAGCGTTTACAACAAGTGTATGAATACTCTTTTGTAGATTTTAATGTGCTAGAATGGATACATACTTGGAGTTATATGAATCCACTTCCGACAGTGTTTAAATATCTTAATAATAAATGAATATAGGAATTCATTAGAGATTTAGGATATTTGCTAGTTCAATAAGACTGCAGTTTGTTAGATGTCAGCTTCGTTAATTTGTTTGAGGTATGAAATATGAGTAGTAGATTTCATGTGAATCTTATAATGCTTTGTAATCATGAAAAATAAAGAAGAATCAATGCTATAAGCCAAAGGGCTGAACTAGAATGAGAGCCAGTAGCTGCCTCCTCCGCAAGGGCCGGTTCTCCAGACGCTGGAGGAGGCCTTGAACCATTGAACCCTCTTCTGGAATCCGCCTCCGCCATTTTTAGACACTCACCTCCTTCCCAAAATATTCTAGACTTTTATATTTAACAAATATTAAGATTCATTTGAGAGTTTTTTTGTTGGGATTTTTATTATTCCGCTTGATCGCCTTATATACAAATACGTATGCGATAGAAAGTTAACCGATGAAGTACTATTTAAAGTCTTGTATAAAAGGTTATAAACAGGTCTCTGTCACTTATTCATGCTAACTCGGCCACTAATGATAGCTCTACTCCAACCTCTACAAGCCAAATGGAACATCCAACGACGGTTGAAATGTTTGGAGTGATAAGGAGCGGGTAGAATTTCCATAAAAATCCATCACCCCCACCCTACGTGATTTTAGAAATTGATTAAGTGGAACGATGGATTGCACAATTTTTGGCTGTAATAATATTAATAACATTTGTTGGTCAATAATTGAATCATCATTAAAAGGAACCCTGCTATTAGTTTAAAACATTTGATACGGATATCTTATAATTATGTTCGTGGCCGTACTATCAATTATGATTAAAAATATAAATATTGTTAGTGGATTTACAGTTTAAAATATGAGTATATACAAGATATCTACTATTATATCATAACATTTAATTCAATAGTTATATCAATATCCGAATTGAAAAATTTGAACACGGAATACATGTTTACCAACTTTCTATATTTTATTTAAAAAAGGCGTGACAATTAGTAGAAATTAAGGATGGTTAGATTATTAAAATAATAAAGTTGCTGATTCCGCCTTTTTATTAAATTTAAATTTGCATTATATTGAGGACGATGTTAATCATCAATGCCTCTTGAGATCATAGTTTTTATCTATTCGAAAAAGTTTTTAAAATGGCTTCTAAGAATTTGAATCACTGTCCGTATCGAGAAAGGGAATCGTCATCACTTCAAGCACTCCAGTGGCTCCACTTCATTTTCAATGGCCATTTTAAAATTACTCACAATAATAGATGACTACATCCAGAGAACAGAACATCATTACTAGAAAAAAATATATCCAAAAGGGCTATTGAATTAAATTTGATTGGACTCTTTCAAATAATTTTTAGTTAATGCAATGAAGAAAATAATTTTTGTAGTTTTTTGGTAGTTTATCTTCAGAATGAATTAATATGCTTTGTTTTGAATATTTTATTGTTTCATTGAACTGAGCAGCTTAATACAAAGAACTGTTTTACAGTGGTGGCCACAAAGGGGTTTCATGTAGTGTTGCCCAAATGCGAGACCGATACGAGTCTTGTCCTGTAAACTCAGTTTTGGTCTAATTCTTGGTCTTGTGCAAGAGTCTTTGCAGTTACCTATTAGGTTAGTACTATAGAGATATTACTGGATTTTTTTAGATAAGGAAAATATAACAAAGCCCGAATGAATAATTAAAAGAGTATATTGGTTATAATGATTCTTTACATATTAAATATTACATATACTTGCAAAGTGCTTAAATGAAAGAAATCAACTAAATTAATAAGCTGTCAAAAGACAGATTGAGTTCTGCTATTGCCCACCCAAAAGTATAGTGGTGATCTTCTCCAAGGTTATTCCTTCAGTTTGACAGAAGGATTTGTCAAGAGCAAAGGCAATACCTGGAAGCGTTCAAGGGTTGGACACCTAGTGTACCTTACCTACCTAGGCTGGAGCCTAAGACGAGTACCCAGTGATCCTTTTTCCTGAGACCCAGGTGACTTGGAGCCAATTAGTGCAGTTGTGGAGGTCCTGCCGCCAGATCATCCTGCAAGATCCCTTAACGGCACGCTACCTTCTGCTCCCACCGAGATTAAAGCTCGGTTTCCAAGGACCACTTTAACTGAAAGGTTACAAAAACAACGGGTTGTCTTGTACCGTTATTGGGTATGGGTTATTTTTCGTTGGATACCTTTATTCGAATAACAGTAGTATTATTTTAGGAGTTGAGCTCTTTGTATTCAGAACATTCTTGCACAAAGTTTTCTTGCAATGGAAATTTTCAATTTAAATGGCGTAAATTGATTTGTTGGGTCATTCTAACCAACTATAAAATGACCGAAGAAAAAGGCAATTTCACTTTAGATATATAATACTTTATATAACACGGAAATAGTTGTTAATACATAACATAAAGGATTGGTTGAAAAAAAAAAACTTATGCTGTGTGATAGCGCTTAAAAAAAATTCTTAATTCACATTTCCGCGTAATAGTGAAACAAATAATATTCCATTAAATAATAAACTACCTTAAATTCTGGGCTGTTACTTTGATGTGGATTGTTTGGTATGGTATGTTTCCATACCACAGATTTTCTTGAATAAAATATCTGACATTAACCAAGAGTGGACAAACTTCCTAATTAGTAGCGGCACAAACAACACAAAGCTTATTATCAGGACAGGATTATTAAATCTTAATTTTGAATTGAAATTTCAGTTTCTATTTATAAAAAAATGTTAGAGAATGAGGATATCCACCATGCATTTAATTGTAGTGCAAATAGATTAGTTTTAAATACTTTAATGAAATTATATATTTTCGTCCTTATTACGATTTCATCAATAATTGTAAGAAACACACACATGAACCTAAAATATTCGCTCCCTATTTTCGAATGTTAGTTTATTACAGAGGATTTTTATCAAAACTTATTTGGGAGTTTATTATTAAAACCTACATAGTTACCATTACTACCGTAAGTGCCCATAAGAGAGTTGGCCCATCGCAATTTTTGAAGGAGACGCATTATTACGAGGTTATATATTTTTGGAGAGAACATATTTTTGGTATTTCAATATTCAATGAGGAACTAGCAAACAAGGGAAGAGGAGTAAAAAAAAAAAAAAAAATAGAATGGACTACAGCAATCGCAGTTATAAATTTCTACAATTTTTTATAATTTCATCTATAGCCTTTTTAAAAAGAGAACAATAAAATTTTTGAAAGGGGTGGGGAGAGCTTTGATACAGCCTTAGGGGAAGATGGTCACCTGAACCACCTTTTAAAGTAATTGTATTTTAATAATATATAAATCACAGGAATATATTATAGTTTTCAGCCACTGAAATGAATACAAAATATTAATATATAAATAATTTAACAATCAATTTATCGTTGTATGAATTATATAATTTACATTTATTCAAATGTCTCTTCCACGAATTGATTCTAATTAAAATGACCGTGAGTTCTTTCTGTTAATGGGGAATTCTATAATCACTGCAACTAATTCTCCTCCTGGTAAATAAGTACGAGTTTGCCCAATGTTTAATGAACAACTAATTTTCACAATCCATTTAATAAATAAATGACACTACCTTTTTGTATTTTTGTTTTCATTTTATACGGAATTGCATTATATCATTGCATTTAGCAGTGGCAGACTCAGAATATAATTTCTTTTTTTTTTTGGTGGGGGGAGGAAGGCTTCAGACCGAAAGCTTTTCTTTTAATATATTTAAAATGATAATTAATTTATTAGAAAAGGAAATAAAGTAATCCCCTACATTGGCGTTTAAGTAAATCTTGAGATCCTATTAAATGTAATTACACGAATAACAACACTTTTATAGATAATTTTTAATTTTTTTTTATCAGACATGGCTATATTTTACCATTCCACAGGTGGGATGATGTCATTTGAATAAAAATATATCTGTAGCTTACTACTTAATATATTGTGCAAGAACAAAAAGTATCATCTTTATTGTTGACAATAACAACTTCCAAATATAAAACATATAGTTTAACGTTTCGAGAAATTATTCCCATTTTCAAACATTTATTCCCATCTTTTATAACAATTAATGGCCAGAAAAGAGTTGCATTAAAATGAATGCTTGTTACAATACTTGTCAATTTAATGTTGCCACATAATTTGCTATATTTTCCTTAAACCTGGTGTGCTCCTTTGAAGATGGGAATAATTTCTTGAAACGTATACTTACAATAATTATAGCAAATAAGCTATTTGTTTTATGCCTGGAAATTTTTACTGTAAAAAAAATTCAACTGTAAAAAGAAGAAAAAGTATCATGATTTTTCAGATTAGATGAAGAGCGATTAAAAATTCAAGTTGAAATTTCTCATGAAAATAATTTCTAAAATGGCAATTCATTTCATGAATGGAAAATGTTCTTTAGTAATGTTAACTGTGATATAATCATTTCAATGGTAAATATCTCATTCTTTTTGGGTTGAGTTATTGTGGTAGTTCCAGGTATTTGATATTTCTTTAATTATAAATTTTAAAGGATATGTAACATCATTTTTAATACTTATTATTTATTTATTTTTTTATATTCCCATATTTTATCTTTAGTCCTGCTAAAATCCGTTTTGAGAAATACTGATCTAGAATTATTTTTGAAAAAGTTATATTCTGAGATATTTTTTACGTTGATAGGGCTACTTTTTATGCTTAACCGATATTTATAAACTAAAACTCTTTTCGTAGAAATGATTCCTCACTAAAATTCTTGCAGAAGTAAAATTAAATTAAAAACAAAATAATTTCATCATTTGGAATTATTTTTATTTATTTATATTTTATTATCACCGTTATTTTTTTTTTTGGTTTTCATTACCAGGTGATAAACTATAACAACTAATTGTTTTACAACAGACGTAAAAAATAAAACAGTAAAAACAACAAATAAAACTGTTTTCAATTTAAGTGGTTTTATACAATAAATGCCTCTCCTTTTTAATAGGTTTCATTTGCTAATTGGAGGACAATGACTCTTGAAACAATTAATGTATATCCTATCGTGTTTTTTTTTCGCGCAGATTACTCAACTTTCAAATTATGGACATTAACTCTTTTTATTACAAGGATAGCATAAATCATTGATAATTTTGATCATGAAAAACTTCTAACATAATCGTTTTATAAATTTTAAATAACGTTAATTAAGTTGAATTCTGAACTAGCAAAAAATATTACCTTACTCGTTATTTATTATTCAAGTATTTCATTACTGTATATGGTGTTTTTTTTTTTTTTTTTTTTTTTTTTTATCAATTCTTGAGACAGGATAACGTCAGAAACAAAATAGACAATTTTGAATGAACAAGTGACTGGAGAAAAACAGCCCTAAAAAGCTATGTATAGACACAGGCAGATTTAGTGGGAGGGAGGGGTTTTCGGGCTGAAGCCCCCTCTCCCAAATGGTAAAATATAATATAATAATGTTTTACGAAAGAATGATTAAAAAATTATCTCTAAAAAGTATTAGTGTTCGTTAATTATATTAATTAAGATCTTAAGAAAAGTAATTATCGTTTCATATATTTATGTATATATATATATATATATATATATATATAAAGAACCTTTCGCGCTGGAGCCCCTCTCAAAATTAATTGCTGGATTCGCTAGTGTGTCTAGATCGTTAACAATTTCTAGAGTAATAAGATGGTTTAGTCAATAGTACAGACTCATTTTTATTAAATTATTAACATCCGCTAGGTAGCGGGGTAGCTCAGTGGGTAAGCACTGACTTCCAGAGCTCAAGATCCCAGGTTCGAATTCGGCTGATGACTAGTACTTTTTCATCAGTCAGAGGTCGACTCTGTGACCAGGAGACCCTCCTGGGGCAAACCCAGCCTCTATAAAGTTGGTACTCTTAATTAAATAATTAATTAATAGGGGAAAACCTGGCAGTTGAGCGTGATATTGGCTTACTCACCTCCCTGCACAACCGTTCGCCTTGTAACAGTACTTCCTCACATTGTGCTGAACACAAGATCCTTCATGGGTTGCTGGTGGCACAGGTTTTAATTTAAATTTAATTTTTTTAACTTCCGCTTAAATCTTATCGTAACATACACATTTTTTATCCAAGAAAATTCTCAAAAATGGGGGTTTTCTCATTAAATTAATTAATTTAAGGAGATACTAAGCAGTCATAAATAATGATTTGCGTACCACTTGAATCTTATGACAATTTGATCGCAAAATTGAAAAATATAATTGGTATAAAAAAATATTGGCCGTATGGCTTATGTAACATCGTTATTTTGACATGTTGGGGGTGGAGGTCAAGATAAACGACCCAATATTTTTGTGGGCCTCTTTATTCTCGATTTTGTGACCAAATTATCTCAAGATTCAAGTGGAAAAGTGGTGTTCATGAGTTTTTAGTATTTAATTAAACAGACCCTAGTGTCCATTTGACAGGTTGTAATACTCAATAAATAAATAATTCTAACAAAAAAAAAAAGACCAAGTTTTCCGACATTCAGATTGAAAACACCTCAATTCCGAGAATTCTCGTAAACAGTTGTAAGTTAATATGAGATGAAGTTATTCAGAAAGTTTTAGGAGGATGTTAATAATTTGATGAAAAAAGGTTAGTACCAAGGACTATTTGTACTTCTACCATTAAAATTCAATGTTTATTTCCTACTATTTGAATTTCATTAAAGCGAATTTCCATTATACCATTTCTGAAATGTTTGCACCAGTTGATTGTTGGTAAGCATATTATGTAGATAGGTGTGTTTGTGTTTGCGTGTGTTTGTACAGGTAGTGACAAAGCAGGAGGGAGGAGAGAGGCCGTTAGAGATGGGCGGCGTGACACCGGCCAGTTAGCCACGGTCCTCAGCTGTCTTCAGCCGCCCCCCTTTCAAAATATTTGCCCGTGGCGAACTGGAGGAAGATATACTGACTTTACGCTCTGTCACCCTCTATCCTCCATTGTGCCCCGACCCATAGGCCACATATACATTCTATAAACAAATTTCTTTTCTTACTTTCAGT